ATCAGCATCATCAGCATCATCATGACCGTCACTAGCATCACGATCATCATCATTTCATATTCAGCATCATCACGCTCATCCTCCACCACCAACACCATCATCAGCATCATCATAAACATCAGAACCGTCATCATCATTAGCAGCATCATCGTCATAATCATCTTCATGTTACCATCATCATCATCATCTCAACATCTACATCAACATCATTATCCCTTTTACCGACTCGGCCAGCTGCCAACGGGAATGCAGCGCTGGCACAGTGGCGAAACTTTCCGCAGACAGCTGAATATGAATGAGAACGGCGAGGATCGTGAAGATCGAAAGGACGGTGAAACCAGTGCCCGGTCTAGGGGCCCGACGTGGCCCCTTGGGGCGCGTTCAACCGCGAACGCCCGCGCCATGCCTCGAGGCGATGGAAGGAGGAGCAGGCGAAGGAGCGGAAGGTTTTCAGTGGAGGGGAGGTTTTGACGAAAGGTGGTTTTGGGGAGGAGGGGGAAGTTGTCGGAGGATGGAAAGGCTTTGAAGAAGAGAGGTTCGTCCGAGGATCCCACGCCCATCTAATAAACAACCTCCGTCTCGAACACAACACTCATCTACTCAACAGCCGCCCTCTCCAACACAACACCATGTACTCCACGCCTCGTTTCAAAAGAATGCCCTTAAGATGTCTGTTCAAACCGCGATCCCACCCGCCCCCCGCCGACTGCCGTCCGCCCGCCCCCGATCCCTTCTCCGACACAACACCCATATACTCAACAACTTCCGATCTGGACACAACACCTTAACTAAACAGCCTGCCCTTCCAACTAACTACCCATCTACTCACCAACTTCGCTCGCCAGCACAACGCCCATGTACTCCACAGCCTCCGCTGCAAGAGAAGTTTCTGCAGAGCCTTCATGTTTTCTTAACAAAAAATTATCCCGCCCGCTGCCCGTCATCTGCCCGCCCCAGGGCATGTCTCTAACACAACGCCCGTGCACTCCACGGCCCCCATCCCAACATAACACCCATGTATTCGACAGCTTGGTAAGAATGAGAACGGTGATGATGGTGAAGATCGAAAGGACGGTGGCGCCAGTACCAGGTTTACGGTCTCAAGGTTAGGGCATGATGACTAAGGTCCTAAGGTTGAGGTCTTAGGGTTAGACCATTACGGTTGAGGTATTAGGGTCGGGGCCGAAGGGGTATGGTTAGGGTATTAGAGTTGGGGTTGTAGGGTTGGGGTCTTAGGGCTGGGGTCTCCTGGGTGTTAGGGTTAAGGCATCAGGTTGAAGGCGGTGGGGCTCGGGTCTTAAGTTTATGGTCTGAGGCTTAAGGTATTTGGCTTAGGGCATTAGGTTTAAGGTATTAGGGTTACGGCCTTCGGGTTGGGGTATGCGGGTGAAGGTATTCGGGTTGGGGTCTCAGGGGTAGGACACTACGGTTGGGGCATGAGGGTTAGGGCATAAGGGGATTGGGTATTACGGATGAGGCCTTGAGAATAGGACACTACAGTTAGGGTCTGAAGGTTAGGGAGCTCGGTTTGTGTTCTTAGGGCAAGGGTATCAGGACTACGGTCTTAGCGCCAGTGCATTTAGGATGAAGGCTCCAGGGTTAGGGTCTGAGGATTCGGGCACCAGGGTTAGGATCTTCGGGCTTGGGTCCTAGATGCAAGACATCATGGTCATTAGCAAGTGTAGGGTCTTGAGTTTGGTGTTTTAGTGCCAAGGTCTTCGGGTTAGGGTCTCAGGGTGAGGACGCCAGGGTTAGGGCCTTAGGGTTAGCGCATTACGGCGAGGGTCCGAGCATTAGTGTCTTAGGGTTAGGTTCCTAGGGGCATGGTGGTAAAGTAGGTTCTTAGGGTTAGGGTAGGCGGTCTGAAGTCTTTGGATGGGGCCTTAGGGGCATGGCCTTAGGGTAAGGCATTCGGGATGAGGTCTTCGGGCTAGGGTCTTAGATCTCGGGCCTGATGGGCTAGGGTCTCAAGGTTTGGGTAAAGTGCATGACGGCATTGGGCCTAGGGTCTTAGGATCAAGGTGTTCGGGTGAGGATCTGACGGTTAGGATCTGAGGTTGTGGCATGATGGTTAGGGTGGTATGGTTAGGGCGCTCGGGTGAAGGTCTACGGGTAAGGATATTAAGGCTACGGCATTGGGGTTAGGCTCGTAGGGTTAGGGCATCAGGGTTAGGCTCTCACGGGTGGAGTCTTAGGGATCAGGCCTCACGGTTTCTGTATTAGGGTAAGGGTCCTAAGATTCGGGTCTTAGGATTAGGGTACCAGGGTTAGGGCATCAGGGTGAGGACATCAAGGCTAGGGTCTCAAAATTAAGTCATCCGGGCTAGGGTCTCAGGGTTAGGACATCGGGGTTGGGGCCATCGGGTTAGGGCATGCGTGTTGGGACAGCAGGGGAAGTCCTAGGGTTGGAGACTTAGGATTCAGGTGTAGGCGTTCGGGTTTTGGGGTCAGGGCCTTCGGGTCAGGGCGCCAGGGTCAGGGCAGTAGGGGCGAGGTCTCAGGGTTAGGGCATCCGGGTTATGGCACCAGGGTTAAGGCATCAGGGTTAGGTTATTGGGTCCAGGGATTTCGGATTAGGGCACTAGAGTTTGGGTCCTGAGGCCATGGTAATATGGTTCGGGTCTTATGGTTAGGGTACTAGGGTTACGACATTAGGGCCACGGTCCTAGCGTTACGGTCGAGGTTCGGTCATTCGGGTTCGGGTCTCAGGGTTCGGATCTCAGGCGTAGGGTCTTAGGGTCGGGCATTGGGTTTAGGGTATCATGGGTTATATTACTAGGGCTAGGTTTATCAGGCTGGGTCTTAGGATTAAGGAATTCGGATTAGGTCCGTCGGGTAAGGGTCTTAAGGCTAGGGTCTGAGGGCTAGGGGGCACGGTCTTAGGGGCTCGGGGGGCCCCTGTAAGGGTCTTAGGTTTAGGGCAATGTGGCTAGGGTCTTCGGGGTGCGACAATCGGGCCCAGGTCTCAGGGTTCAGTCAATTGCGTTAAGGCCTAAGGGCCAGGGTCTTAGGTTTACAGCACTGGGGGGGGGGTCTTTGGATTAGGGCATGAGGTCTAGGGCATCGGCGCCAACGTCCTCGGGCTCGGATATTGGGGACATGGTCTTCGGGCGAGGGTCTTCGGACCAGGGTCTATCAAGTCTTGGGCCAGGGGCGCTAGGGCTCGGAGTCTAGAATCGGAGCCTTAGGGCTAGGGCCCCAAGGCTAGGGCCTCAAAACTAAAGCTTCAGCGGTCGGGCACTAGGGTCGAGGTTTTCGGGTCCGCATTAAGCTTAGGTGTTTGGGAGCACGGCTAGGGAACTCAGGTTCGGGCCTCAGGGTCCGGAACTTGAGGATACGGTCGCAGGGTGCGCCAATTTGGGTTCGGGCCTGATGGTTAGGGCATTCGGGCTATAGCATCAGGGCTGGGGTCTCAGGGTTCGCGCCTCAGGGCCAGGGCATTCCGCCCGGAGTCTTCGGGCTCGGGCGCGAGGGCGCAGGCCTCGGGGGTCAGTTCGGGCATGGGGGCTTGGGCATTCGGGTCAAGGCCTTCGGGCTAGGGCATTAGAGCTAGGGCATTGGGGGCAGGGCCACAGGGTTTGGGCACGAGGGCGAGGGCCCGAGGGTTTGGGCCTCCAGGTTCGGGCCCGAGGGCCGGGTCTCAGGGATAGGATCTCAGGGACAGGGCCCTAGGTTCAGGGCCTTCGGGCTAGAGTCTTCCGGCTGAGGTCTTAGTTAGGGCGTTAGGATGCAAATCTTCGGGGTTCGGGTATACGGTTGGGGTCGGGTTAGGAGCTCAGGGTTGGGAATATTCGGCTTAGGGTCTTCGGGCTGAGGTATTCGGCTTAGGCTCGTAGGGTAAGCCTCTTCGGGGTAGGGCGTCCAGGCCATGGTCTTAAATAGGGTCGGGGTCCGCGGGTTGGGGCATCCGGGTTAGGGGCCTAGGGCGAGGGTCATAGGCCTGGGCCATAGGTTTAGGATGGTAGTGCTAAGGCATCAGACTTAAGGCCTTAGGCTTTCTGTCTCAAGGTTAGGGCATCCGGGCAGCACCACTACTACTACTACTACTATTCCCATTCCTATTCCTCCTCCCTCCCTCCTTCCCTTTCTCCCTCCCTCCTTACATCCAACCAATGACCCCTCCTCCTCCTCCCACGCGGGCGACGACGACGACGACTGCGGCCGCAGCGACACGACGACGACGACGACGACGACGACGCCGACGACGACGAAGACGACGGCATTGGTTCGCGTCCCCCAGAAGGCCGACGCCAGCGGGCGCGGATGACCTGAGGGCGGGCGGCCCGATCCAAAGGGATGCGCGGTGAGACCCAAACCCCCCACGATGTGGCAGGAAAAGAAAGGAAGACGAGGAGCCAGAGAAGGATCTGGAGGAGAGGAGAAATGAGAAATGATGATGATGATGCTGATGCTGATGCTGACGCTGATGCTGTTGCTGCTGCTGATTATGATGATGATGATGATGCTAATGCTGATGCTGATGATGATGCTGATGGCCATGAGGATGATGACGTTGATGGTGATGATGATGCTGCTGATGATGATGATGATGAACGATGATGATGATGATGATGATGATGATGATGATGATGATGGTGATGATGATAATGATGATGATGGTGATGATGATGAAGATGATGAAGATGATGATAATGATGATGATGGTGGTGGTGATGATGGTGATGATGGTGATGGTCATGGTGATGGTGATAGTGATGGTGATGATGATGATGATGATGATGATGATGATGATGATGATGATGATGATGATGATGATGATGATGATGATGATGAGGAGGAGGAGGAGGAGAAGGAGGAGGAGGAGGACAAGGAGTAGAAAGAGGAGTGGAAAGGGGAGAGTGAGAAAGGACGAGGGGGAAGGGAGGAGAGGGGAGAAGAGAGGGAGGATGGAGGTCGGAGGAACGAGAGGAGAGGAGAGGAGAGGAGAGGAGAGGAGAGAAGAGGAGAAGAGAGGAGAGAGGAGAGAGAGAGGAGAGGAGAGGAGAGGAGAGGAGAGGAGAGGAGAGGAGAGGAGAGGAGGAGAGGAGAGGAGAGGAGAGGAGAGGAGAGAGAGAGAGGAGAGGAGAGGAGAGAGAGGAGAGGAGAGGAGAGGAGAGGAGAGGAGATGCAAGGGGGGAGGAGGACAGTGCAAGGGATGAGCTGGAGTATCACTACTGCTTGGATTGGAGCTCCCCGGCAGACTGGGAGGCGCTGTGGCCAGCGGGCGCGCCCGCGGCGTCCAGCAGCAGCCCGGGGTGGCCGCTGCGGGGCCCCTGCGAGCGGATTTGTTGTGCAAAGCGGCGCGCGCTGGCGAGCCGCACCGGCCTGAGACCAGCTAGGGCGATGCTGACTTCGGCGGCGAGCGAGGGGGGGGAAACGAGAAGGAGAAGGCCTTCTCAGAAGGCAGCGGGGCTCCTCGGAAGCCCTCGCACCTTGCGGGAAGCTTGTCTGTGCATTCGGGGAGGGCTGAGAAGAACTTCTCGGAAGGCCGGGGGACTTCCGAGCTTCCTGAGGAGGCCTTCTCCTTCTCGTTTCCCCCCTGGGATGTTGTGCCCTTCCTGGGCGCTCGGGGGCTCCCCTGGAACGATCCTGGGGTCATCTTGGGGCCGCCCTGGATACTTGCTTGAAGGATGCCGAAGCGAGAATTTGCGAACCCGCGCGAGCATCTTCGCCTTTTGAGCTACACCACGCGAAATGCTTAAGAAATCATGGGTTAAGAAATTCATGGTCTCAGAACTTGAATAAAAACCCAACATTTCCGTTCAAATCTTAGGATATACATTGAAAAGTTAAGAATAATCGAGACTCTGGCCGAAAACTTAGGTTTTCTTAAGCATCGCCTAGGGTGTATTTGGGCCTCGTGGGCTCGCCGCCGAGAACTGCCCCGCGCTCCAGCACGATCCTCGTCGGGGGGGGGGGGCCCCACGGAGGCCCGCCCTCGCCACTAGCCGGCGCGCCGCGCCCACCGAGGGCCGAGCCGCGCCCGCGAGCCGAGCGGTGGCCGCCCTCGGGAGGGGGGGGCGTCCGCCGCCCGCCGGTGCACACCGGAAGTGCACCTGCCGCGGTTGGCGTGGGAAACTGAAGGGGAACTGGGACACACAAATAAATAGACACAAATAAAAGGATTCCCCATATTTTCCCATATTTTCTGGGTTTTTGTCTTCCCCCCCACTTCCCATATTTTCCCATCTTTTTCTGGGGATCGACGATTAATTGTGTCTGTGTGTTTCTTTCCCTCCTGGTTGGCGTGGGAAACGCCCACCTGGAATCGACGCTGCGAAGTGCCCGCCCCCGGACTAAAACAGGGCCAGGATCGGGATGAATCGCTCCAGGGCGTTCCGCAGCGCTCTCACAGAGCGTTCCGGAGCGCTCTGGAGCGGCCGCGGCGCCCAATACATCCTCCAACCCCGCCGATTCTCAGAGATTTCGAGTTATCCCGATCCGATTCTGTCCCGATCTTCGCGTCGTTTGACGGTTGGCGTGAGAAACGCCCACCTAGAATCGACACTGCGAAGTGCCCGCCCCCGGACCCCCCCCCCTTTCAATGATGCGTTCGCGGCCACTGTCGGGGCGCAAGCATCGGCATAAGAAACGCCCAGATCTTCACCGCCACGGCAGCCCCGTTTTCAGCATGGAAATTGGGGGCACGGGGGTCCTCAGTAGATCAGCGTTGATCTTTACGCCTGGTAGGCGTTGTTCACGCCAATGGCGGTAAGGCTTATGAGAACCTCAGGACAAGCCGATCCCGCGCACCCCTGTGAACGCAACGACAGCTATCCACAAACCCTCCCGGACCTCACGCGCGCTCATGACGCCGAGCGGTTTGCGCATGACACGTGAGAATAACCCATTGGCAGTGCAACGCCCCTTGACAGAACATCGCCATCATTACATGTTGGCAGGTGATGCTGATGACATGTGGGCAAGGTTGACAAAAAATTCAAAACGGCCTGCGCAGGATCCGCTTCTCGCTTCCGACGGGCATCGGAGGCATCAGGATAGCCCCAAGACGGCACAAGAGAGCCCCAAGCGAGGCCCAGAATGGCCCCGCCCCACAAAGGCTCCCAACAGGACCCCGCGAAGGCCTCAAGAGGCCGTCAAGAGGCAACGCTGCCGGATCCAAGGGGACGGTCTAATCCCACCAGCCCTCTGGGCGTAGGTGGTTTCACAAGCTTGATTTTCCGATCCACTTTTTCCCCCTCGGGTTCACCACATCCCCTGATGAAGAAATACCCCCTCCCCCTCTCGAGCGGCCACCAACAAGGAGCCATGAGGGCACACCTCCACGTCCTTCTCAAAATACCGTACAAACTGAACGTGACAGCGGAATCTGGATAGCCAGCACTTCGCGATCAGGTTGTATTGGGGTTCGGCAAGGACGGCGGGGGTGATCATACCTGTCCACCGTGCACTCACCAATTGTCAAGATGTCAACCGCCTCTGCAAAGTGATGGTGGGTGCGCAATCCATACAACATGCTGACCACCCCGCCGCCACTTTGCACAGGTCCTCGACGGAAATGGTGGTGGGTGGCGACAAGGTGCCCGATGTACACTGTCACGTGCACTGAATCAATCCCATCAGCCCTCTGGTCGTGGGCTGGTGGCTTAGCGGGCTAGCACATCGACTCCCCATACAATCCCCCTTTTTCCCCTTCGCGGCGGGGTTTAACTCCTTCTCCATATGAGTAAGCACCTTCTCCACCAGTGCATAGTGGCCGCCAACCCCCTGGTCAGCATCAATATCTACGAGGCCGACGTAAAAGCGTTCGTCGAAAAGGGAGACCAGCAGAAGGCGATGAGGGAAAGGGTCCTGGCCCTGCTCTTCGAGGCCAAGCTGCTGATCGAGATCCAAGTGTTGTTCGGGGTGACGTTAATTTCGACCCAGAACGCGTTGCTGTTGATCCGAACTTGGGGCCTCTGGATGGCCCCCCATCTGCGGAGGGGCGGGTGCTCTGGAACTAATCCCGTGCACTTGCCAGGCACCCCGCGCAGCTCACGGGTAATTGATCTCCATGTCGGCGGCCGACACGATGAGTGACGAAAAATTCTCAATCCAATACTCTACGTCTTAGTTTGTCATCTCGCAGGCGGGCAAAACGGGCGGGTGCACATTTAGACCTGCAGCTGGTCAGTCTACATACACGCGGCAGCACTCATATTTCACTTCGGCGCCACCAGCGCGGGCGCAACAGAACTCAACTACGACATCGATACCGTCCCTCTCACCTACGCGTGCTGCAATCGAGAGATCCTTTCCTGAAAAGGACCATCAACAGGGCTGACATATACTTAAGCGCACAGACAGTCTGCAAAAGGCTCGCTGTCTCGTAAAATGAGCTCGCAGCAAAATGCCATGTCCCTACACGGACAGAATTACAGGGGATTGCGAGGCCAATACCGTGATCGATTAATGCATCCTGATAGTACATCGCAAAGTGGCAGTTGCATGATCTCCAGCAGCGCGCGCGGTCCGTCTTGCAGCAGGCCCAAGCCCTAACGTTTCTCTATGTGGGTGATGAGGGTCTGTATGACGTCCCCAGGCGTGGGCCAAGAAGTATTATACATTATAACCTATATATATACATATATATGTATATATATGTATATATGTATTCTACGTGTGGGGACTATTGCTCCCCATCTCCTGTGATCAATGGGACCTCTCCGCCCAACTTCTCCCGCTTCCATCCCTGCCAACTCCCAGGCTCCGACTCACCCACTCTCAGATGCACACAGACCACTCACACTCAGACCATGCACGCTCAGACTCTGCTCTGACTCACTCATACTCAGACCCACTCGTACTCAGACTCACCCACACTCAGGAACCATGATCAGGAGTGGCACTTGGGCGCCCCAACGGGGACCCGACCATGTGTGTGTGTCACGCGCCTGGTCACGTCCATATGTGTACACGCTCCCAGGTAGACTACCTACTCTGGCACCCCGAACTGATCTCCGCGCGACGCAGCAAGCATAACAGTTGGGCGCTCCGAATGGGAGCCGATCAAGGGTGTATCACGTGCTCGTTCGCGTCCAGACGTGTGCTCAGCCTGCAGTAGAGCGCCTGTTTTCGCATCCCACATGTCTCTCCTTTCGAGGCATCATGACCATCGCGATGTAGCAAGCATAAACACTCCTATGGGAATCCGACCAGGGGTGTATCACGGGTCCATGACCGTCCAGATGCGTGCTCACGTTCAAGTCGAAAGCCTCTTGTTGCATCCCTACGTCCCCAACCTTTTCGAGCCCCGTGGCCGTCGCGATATGGCAAGCATGCAACTCCTGAGCAGCCCAAAGGTGGTCGACCAGGGGTATATCACGGGCATGCTCGGAGTTGTCTACTCCCACTTAGAAAGCTGATGTGGGCACCCCTTTGAGAGCCCGATTGCCATCGCGGCGCGACAGACATGGCACTTGGCCACCCCCAGCGGGAATCCGACCAGGGGTGTACCACGGGCCAAATGAGTACTCACTCTCACGTAGGACTCCTGTACTGGCAGCCTTGGACCTCTCCCTGCATGGCCCCATGATCATAACGATGTAACAGACATATCACTTGGGCACCCCAAGCGGGAACCGACCAGTTGTGTATCACGGGCCGATTCGCGCCCAGATTTGCGCTACCTCTCCAAAATAGAACGCCTGTTAGGGCACCCCACGCTCCTCTCCGCTCAGAACCCATGACCATCGCGATGCACCAGGCTTCTACATTCGAGCAGATACACGGGGCAACTAAATCATTGCATGAGGTGTGTGCCCCTGCATCCATTGGAGCAGGTCCCCCCTTCCCACGAAGGAATGGACTACTAGCCTTAATGTAACGCATGCGCAGCAAATCGTTCGAAACGCCGCAGTGTCGCGCCAAAGAGAGCAACTCCCAGAAACCGCCCGTCCTGGCCGAGCGGGGCTGCCACGAAGGCCTGGCACACTGCGCAGCCCACCATGCCCGCAGCGAACGCAGCGACAAGCGCGCTGATCATCCTGGTCTGCGCCATTGCTCACAAGCGAAAAGAGGCGGGCCGATAAAAAAAGCGAGGGACAGACGCCCCGTACCTCCTGAGAGCCAAAAATGCTGCGGCGAGAGGCGCAGGGGTGGACGAGGACGAGGAGGAGGAAACGTCGGCGCTGGAGCAGGAGGAAGAGCATGATGGAAGGGGCCCTGGGACACACAAATAAATAGACACAAATAACCATATTCCACATTTTCTCCCATATTTTCTGGGTTTCTGTTTTCCCCCCCACTTCCCATATTTTCCCATATTTTCTGGGGAATCGAAGATTAATTGTGTCTGTGTGTTTTTACCCTCCTGAACTGAGGGAGAGGCGCACATCCAGCTCCTCCCTTGCACTAAACAAGGGAGCGTTCAACACCCACGCGAATACGAACACGCTCGCCAATGCGAATACCTCGGACTACACACCTGGTTACATTTAAGTCGGGCCTGTCCCCCTACAGGCCGATTTTGGACGAAAAATAAAAAATAGCCCAAAAAAAACTAAAAATGCTCAAAAAGTGTCAAACAAACAAAAAACGTTCCCTGACTATCGTTTTACTATTTTGGAATATTCTCCCTGTAGAGGGACAGACCCGACTTAAGTTTACATGTGAGTGATACTGGGCTGATCATGGCAAAGACAAGAAAAACGTAGAGCACGTCTTCCTGCTCATCAATGTCCCACCCACCTCCTCCCCGTTCCCTCACTTGCTCTTGACGCTAGCATCAACCTCATGTACAAGAAGGGCAAAACGAGCTAACACCTAAACCTCCTCGTCGTCCTTCCCTCTGCCCAGCTCTTCCTCCTCCTCCTCCTTATACTCCTGCTTCTCTCCTCTTCCTCTTCCTCCCCCTCCTCCTGTCTCTTCTCATTATCCTCACGACGGCATCGGCACCATGTAAAGCCATAGAAGAATGCATCGTACCTCACATCCCGTTTTTTCCTGATGCGCCTCCAAAAGCCTCAGAAGGTAAACAATGCGACCCTAGCGAAACATGCGAATCGCAACGATGACCATGTGGGACCCGGTGTGGCCCATCGGACCTGTGAGACCCGCGCGACCTCTGGGACTCCTGAGGCCTGTGGGACCCGTGGGACGTGTGTGGCCTGTGGGACCTGTGGGACCCATGGGACCCGTGGGAACTCTGGGACCTGTGGCACCGTGGCCGTCAGGACAGGAAAGCCGGCACTGAAGCGAGCACACGATTCCTGCGCAGATGCTCCAGAAATCTCAAGCGCTTCGGGCTCCCCGTCCGCCCCTGTGGTAGCCAGCTTGGAGACGAGACTACACCCTGCGAAATGCTTAAGAAATCATGGGTTAAGAAATTCATAGTCTCAGAAAGTGAAAAAAAAACAGAACTTCTATCAAAATCTTGGGATTTACATTGAAAAGTTAAGAATAATCGAGACTCAGGACGAAAACTTAGGTTTTCTTAAGCATCGCCTAAGGTGTACGACTCCCGAGTAAAATGCGAGGAAGCCTCAGGCGAACAGCTGCCAGACCGAGCGGCCCCGGGCTCCCCGCACCCTGCGGGACTCCGAAGCGCACTTCTTCGGAGGGGGAGCGCGCGACTCCCGAAAGAAGGATCCTGGCGCGGGGCCTGGCCATGTGCAGTTGTGAGCACCGCGCTGCGGCCCCGCTTCTGGTGGAGTCCCCCTGCGGGGCCACGCGCCGTGTGAGGGGGGGGGGGCACCAAAATGGGGCGGCGCCGCCCTGCGAACCCTGCCACTGGGGCCTCCGGTGGCGCCCCTTGCAGCTCCATGTACCAGTGGCAGTTTCCGGTTTCCACTGTTGCAGTCCTGCTTTCTGCTTCCTTACTGTCAACTGTTGCTGCACGCGCGAGGGGGGGGAGCCGAAAAGCGCCCTGGCCAGCGTCCCCGAATCGCGTCGTCTGAATTCCCGGGGGGGTCGTGGGACGCGCAAAAATACAGGATGGTCGCGTCCCCGACGCCATAATTCCTACAACCCTCGTCAAAAATAGACTGAGGGATTCTGTTTTCGGTGATCGTATGGTCAGCGCTACTCCAACGCTGACGCTAGAGATCTGACGTGGACGCGAGGGCTTCAAAAAATCCGACGACCCCTCCGCAGCATCGAAGAGCGCAGTTTCCCACGAGTGCCCGAGAAGATCGATCGTCGTGATTTCCAACTGCGCTTCTGCTTATTTTTGACGAGGCTTATAGTAGATTACTCCAGATTTCGTAATCAAGGGAGGGGGGTCTCATTTCGGGGGGGGTCTCTTCCAGGCTATCTTGGGCCTGGGGGGGTCTGGGGACGATGCTTGGGAGGGTTCTCCCACGGGGGGGGGGCTGGAATGGCTTGTCTTGGAGGGTCCAGACCTCCTCCCTTTTATTACGAAATCTGGAGTACATTACGCCATGCTCGCGTCGGGGCCACGTACAACCCAGACCCCCGACGTAATGATTTTTTCACTACGTCGACCCCCAGAGGTCTGGACCCTTTCCCCATGACCGGATTTGCCTCCTGAGTCGTTTTTTGACGCTCCCGAGGCCCGGTGAGGACCCCTGGAGGCCGAAAATTAGGAAAAATATCCCGTCATGATTTTTTCATTACTCGAGGGGGTCTGGGAACGCGCGAGGGGGTGCACCGACGGGGGGGGCGCGGGCGCCGCCGGGCGCACACGGCGGCCACCCGGCGGCGCCGCTCCCGGGGCGGTCGGCCGGCGGAGGGCCCGCCGCCTCCAGGCGCGCACCGCCGCCGGGGGGCCCCCATTTGCCACGGACTGCCTACCAGACCACGCCAACCCAGCCCGAAGGCCCCAATTTCGGGTTGGGGGGGGGGCACGGGCTCCATACCCAGAGATCCAACGCATTGAAAAAATCAAGACGGAGGTTTTTCCCAATTTTCGGCCCCAAGGGGTCCTCGCCGGGCCCCGGGACCGTCAAAAAACGACTCAGGATGAAAAACCGGTCCCGGGGAACGGGTCGAGACCCCCGGGGGCCCCGCATTGAAAAAATCACGACGTCGGATCTCTGGGTATGTGTTTTTTTCCATGTTCCCCGACCCCCCCCCAAACTGGAAATGGAAGGCAGATCGGGGCCTTCGGGTTGGGTTGGGGCGGTTTGGTGGGTGGTGAACCCCTGGGCGGGCCACCCCCCGGCGGCCCCCGACCACCCGGTGGGCCAGCGCCGCCGCCAGGCCCGCCACCGCCAGGGCCCCGAGACACACAAATTAAGACACACAAATACAAAAAGATTCCCGATACTTTCCGATATTTTGGGGGTTTTGGTCTTCCCCCCCACTGCCCATATTTTCCCATATTTTCTGGGGGGCCGACGATGAATTGTGTCTGCATGTTTGGCGCACCCGCCCACGGGCGGCCCCCTTTGCCACTGGGCGGGCCGCCCCCCGGCGGCCCCCGACCACCCCCGGCGGGCCAGCGCCGCCGCCAGGCCCGCCACCGCCAGGACCGCCGGCAGCAAACCCCCTCGCATCCTCCTCCTCCTCCTCCTCCTCCTCCTCCTCCTCCTCCTCCTCCCTCCTCCTCTCCTCCTCCTCCTCCTCCTCCTCCTCCTCCTCCTCCTCCTCCTCCTCCTCCTCCTCCTCCTCCTCCTCCTCCCCCTCCCCCTCCCCCTCCCCCTCCCCTCCCCCTCCCCTCCTCCTCCACTCACGACGGGAGGTGTTCTTTGACGACTCCTGGCCTCCGAGGGGCCCTCTTCAGGGCCCCGGGAGCGCCCCCCCCCAAAAAAGGCGACAACAGAAAGAAGGATTGGAAACCGGTCCCGGGGAAGGGGTCCAGAGACATCTGGGGGTCGACGCTGCGAAGAAGCCACGACGTCGGGGGTCTGGGGAGCCACCACCACCCCGGGGAGCCACATCCCCCGCCCAAAATCGCAAGGCCGACAAAAAGTGGCAAACTTGTGAGGACCGGGGCCATCCTCGCCCCCACCCCCGTCAGGGTTCGGATCTCTCCCCGGTCCCCCAGCCCTAACCCCGCCTGGCTTTTCAAGACCAGTCGGCGGGGAATCTCCAGCTCCGAAACATGCGTTTTCCCGTGCTCTCTGGCGCGTCTTATACAAATTCTTCGATGGGCATGGACGCGTCCGCTTCTTAGGCTGCCGTAGCCTCGGCGACTCTCTGGTCGCCCAGTTTCTTCCTCCATCCATGTGCTTTTCGGCAGGGTACAACTGTACCTTTTCTTCTGCCCTGCTATCGGCCAATGCCGCCGCATGCTCTTCGAGTTTCATTGCTACTTCAACTGGACGTCGTTCGGCATCCCCCTGAACCCGCAACTCGGCGATCCTGATGTTACATGATTGCGCCCCTGTCCTGGCCAGACTCTCGTTATAGGCCGTCTGCAGAGCCTCAGCACGCCCCTCGCGCGCCTCCCTGGCCTTCGCCTCTCGCTCGGCCAGGCTCCGCTCTTCCGCTCCACGCCGGCACCCGCGCTTCGCCCTGTCTTCCTCGCGATCCCTCCCGATGGCGTCCTCGGCCACCTTGGCCTTCTGGGCTCGGCATTGGCGGCGCCACCTGTGGTGGTTGTGGGGGCCTCTTAGGCCGTCTCGGAGCGTTGGGAAGCCGACAGCGCGGGAACGCCAGCATCCCTCGAACACCTGGGGAAAGTATTGATTTTCGCTTCTTGCGGCCCTCTTGAAAATCATCTTGGAGGCATTTTGGGACGTCTTCGAGGTATCTTTGGCACTCGGGCGTCGACGCAGCTGCTGCAGCCAGCTCCACGGCAGCCCACGCAGTCGGCACATCGACGCCGAGAGCACACGCAGCACGTGGCGTTGACCGGCCGCCGACCGCGCCCGCCGTGGCCCCACCGCCAGAGGCACCGGAGACCACGCCGGGCTGCTGGACGGCGGTGCTCGTAGCAACGCTCTGGATCGCAGCAGCCCTGTTCTCTTCTATTGGCAAGTTTGCTCGAAATGCCTCCACCACACTATCCTTCCGATCTGGCCTCGCCGCTGCAATAAGCCTGCCGTGCCCGGAGCTCTATTCCCGTTGCTCGAAAGGCGATCTCAGCTCGAGCTC